TTTCTTTCTTTCTTTCTTTCTTTCTTTTCCTTCCTTCTCCCTTCCTTCCTTCCTCCCTCCCTTCCTTCCTTCCTTCCTTCCTTCTTTCCTTCCTTCCTTCCTTCCTTCCTTCCTTCCTTCTCTTTTGCTCTTTCACTCTTTCTTTCTTTCTTTCTTTCTTTCTTTCTTTCTTTCAACAGATAGACATAGTTTGAGATATAGTTAACACAAACATAGTTTAAGTTTAAAGCATAGAACCCATTGATTTGCTGTATTTATATATTACAATATGATTACCACTGTAGCTTAGCTAACACCTCCATAGTCACATAATTAACAGGATTTCCTTCTTTCTCATAGCTAAATAATATTTCATTGTATGTATACATACCACATCTTCTTTATTCATTCATCCACTGATGGACTCTTAGGTTGTTTCCATATCTTGGCTATTGTGAACATAGCTACAATAAACATGGGGGTGCAATATCTTGTTTTCATTCCCTTTGGATATATACTTAGAATGGGATTGCTGGATCATATGGTAGTTCTCTTTTTAATTTTTTTGAGGCTCTCCATATTGTTTTCCATAATGGCTAAACCAATTTATGTTCACACCAACAGTGCTCAGGAGTCCCCTTTCCTCCATATCTTTGTTATTCTTGTCTTCTTGATAATAGCCATTCTAACAGATGTGAGGTGATATCTCATTGTGGTTTTGATTTGCATTTCCCTGGTGATTAGTGATGCTGAGCACTTTTTCGTAGACCTCTTGGCCATTTGGATGTCTTCTTTGGACAAATGCCCGTTCAATTCCTCTGCCCATTTTTAAACATGATTGTTTGTTATTGAGTTTGTTATTGAGTTCTTTGTATATTTTGGAAATTAACCTCTTGTCAGAAAAATGGTTTGCAAATATTTTCTCTTACTACTTAGGTAGCCTTTTCATTGTGCTGCTTTTTCTTTTGCTGTGCAGGGCTTTTTAGTTTAATGTAGTGCCACCCGTTGATTTTTGCTTGTGTTACCTGTGCATTTGATGTCAGAGGGTTTCCTAAATATATATTTTAAAAACCTCTCATCCCATCCACTTGCTAGAATTCCCTCCCTAAGGTAAGTAATCTTACTTTAAACATTACCTAGTTGAAGAGGACATAGGCTGAAGTCACTCTAAACTCTTGCTGACAGAAAATAAGGTACGGGGCCCAGGGGGACAAGGAGGAAATTACTAAGCCGAATATTCATTATATCCTGCAAGTTCTGGAGAGGGAATCTTTACATCTCCCTGCCCTTGCCTGCTATCTTTCATATTATTGTAAATAACCAGAATGTGTCAGGTGCTCTTCCTCTTTGTTCCTAAAGCTCACTATGCTTACTACTATCTCAGAATTGATAAATTTCTAATATTTTAAAATAAAAGCATTAGTGAGGGAATATTCTAAATCATACTAAGTCTCTTTAGGTCTTTAATTCCCTAATACAAAGCCAAATTTATTATATATTCGGGTCATGGGCAGTGTGATTCTGCTTCCAAAGTACATGTAAGTCTTTAGGCATGAGACAGATAATGGTCAAACTATACACATGAGCTACCCTACTTCCCCACAAAAGTCAGTAGAATGTCTCACTTCTAGTTTGGGAACCCTGTACATATTCCAAACCTAGAGTTGTAACAGAATGCACACAGATGAGCCTCAGCTACTAGACTATTAGTTTCTAGAATTCAGAGACTGTTTTGTTCACCTTTTTATTTTTAGCTGCCAGGATAGTGCCTTGAACATAGTAGACACTCAACAAGTGTTTGTCAAATACTTGTTCAATGGAAAAATGGAGCAGGGAAGGAAACCAACACTCACTGAGTGCCTGCTACATGCCAAGCTCTGGACTAAGTGCTTTGCAGAAGTTCTTGCATACTTTGGCATTTTTGTTAGTGTTCTGCGTGGTGGGTAACTCCAAGAATAGCACTAGGACCAGCGGAGACCATAGGAAGATACATTTCTGTTCAATATTAGGAGCTTCGTAATGTTCAGAGATGACTAAACATGGAGCAGGCTGTGTCAAGAAGGATGAATTCCCTGTGACTATGCGTAGGCGCAAGATGTTAGTTATATAGGGACTCAAGCATCAGGTGGGTTGGGTACTGTCAGCCAGACCAAAGCCCCTCACTCAGATGCCCACAGAGGCCAGGCAAGGAGCATAAATGAGAAAAGAGGCCAAGTGTAAGAAGTTCTTCACTTCTCCCTTTACTCCATGTAAAACAGTTGCAGCGGGGTGCCTGGGTGGCTCAGTCGGTTAAGTGTCTAACTCTTGGTTTCAGCTCAGGTCATGATCTCACGCTTCGTGGGTTTGAGCATTGAGCTGTGTGCTGACAGCATGGACCCTGCTTGGGATTCTCTCTCCTTCTCCCTCTTCTCCCCCCACCAAAATAAATTGATTAATTAAAAAACAAAAAAACAAAAAAACAGTTGTAGCATCATGATGAGCAGTTGCTGACTCTCAACCTCTAAATTCTGGAGACACAATAGGGAGTAATGAGGTCATATTCCTTCTAATGCACAATTGTTTTTCAGCACCAATAGTTTTCATGCAGGGACATGGATCCTGTTTTGAGAAACCTTTCTATTTTTTCTTTATGTTTATTTATTTTGAGAGAGAAAGAGTGGGTGTGTGCAGGATCTAGTGGGGGATGGGCAGAGAGAGAGAGAGGGGGAGAGAAAGAGAATCCCAAGCGGGCTCTGCACTGTCAGCGCAGAGCCCGGCTTGGGGCTCAAAGTCATGAATCCTGAGGTCAAGACCTGAGCCAAAACCAAGAGTCAGATGTTTAACCAACTGAGTCACCCAGGTGCCTCAAGAAATCTTTCCATTTTTAGAGAGAAGCCAGGAATTCTCCTTTTTATATAAAAGCTTCTAATTCTTAAATGTGCTACCAAATTCCAATGGGGAAAGAAATAACACTATGGGCCACATAACACATCTACACATTTGGCTTATGGTCACTTTGTTATCTCTGCGACTGGTAATGTTTAAGGTAACTTTAAACCTGAGATTCTTAGAATATTTGCCTTACAGAATGGTTATAATCCAGTGTTTGGCTATAAATGATAAATCCTGACATTGAATGGCAATGTCCTAGGTTCACAAATCTCTAACTTTAACTTTTATGCAAGGGGATGGATTTGTGCTGGCCCTATTTCATTTCACTGACTTTCTGTCATCATCATCATTGCAGTAGAGGCTTATCTGATTATTTTATGTAACTTCATCAACCACAGAGTTGATGGATAGCACAGGGATAGAGAAAGCCAGGTAATCTTATTATGACTTCGAGCACAGGGCTCAGTTCTCATGCGGCACATGAGACCTGAATGAATTAAATCTTTGTCCAAGATGATGCACACATCAGCAGTTATATTGTGACAGCTCCGGTTTTGAATTATCTTTCCAGATGTTCTCTCAGTAATTAGAGAAGCCCCGTTTCTAGTGAAGCTCTTTCGACTGGAGGGTCAAAAATGACTTGAGTAGAAGTTTTTATCCTTCTATAAAGTGACATCTTCCCTTCTTAATTTGCATTGATAGAAGCTGCTTTCTATTATCTGGAATTCAGAAGAAGTGTCTTCTCCTGGGAGAATATACCATGTCTTAGAAGGTTGTAATTGCTGATTTCTACAATGATCAAGATCAACTCTGCTCTAGGCTATAGAAGAAGCCCAAGTCCACCCTTTGTTTTTTCTTTTCTTCCTTGGGTTAGCTTGTTTGTTTGTTTTGCCACTGGCATGATCCTATTTGCCACCCCTAAACTTCTGGTGTTGTCCTAACATAATGGTGTCAAGGAGGCCATTTGGCCAACTAGTAGGGTTGTAGGACTTAGAGTTACCTTCTTTAGAAAAAGGAGACCCTGTACTTCCATATGGAGTATCGTCTTCACCAGGAAACAGGGTTAAGGAGAGGCCTGCAGTAAGAAACAAAGGGAAGTTTCCTGTAGTAGCATGCCTACTATGTATCTCCTTGCTGACATAACATGGCAATCTTTCAAGAGTCTCTAGGCTTCGGGTATGGCAAGTACTCGAAGGGTACTGACTTCTAGATTCTGACAGACTCAACTTTCCTTTTGTTCCCCCCAAATGAGGGAGTTGTGGCTGTTTCCTGCACTTGCTGTCTTTGTGTCACCTCACGGTGTCTCTAACACTTGTGTACCCAGTTTCTCATAATTACTTGTCTCTGTTGTTGCAATTTCTGTTTTCCTGACTGGACCCTGACAGATACAACTTGCTTTAAGATAAATTCGTTACTTATATTTCTGTCGGAGAATTGTGTTGTCCATAAATACTGAGGATACTTCAAGCTGCCAATTTGACTTTTCTATCTTCAATTGAGGCAAGAAGACTGATGGAAGAAAGCAGTTAAAATCATGAACAAATGTGGATTTTGAGATAATTTACAGATTTCAGTTACTATCCTATTTTCTTTTTGTCATCGTGTGTCAAGTGTTTCTTGTAAATAGCATTAAGCACAGTCTCTTTTTTCTTGTCTTTTATTATTATTATTATTATTATTTACTTATTTTTGAGACAAAGACAGACAGAGTGTGAGCAGGGGAGGGTCAGAGAGAGAGGGAAACACAGAATCTGAAGCAGGCTCCAGGCTCTGAGTTGTCAGCACAGAGCCAGACTGGAGGCTCGAACTCACAGACTGTGAGATCATGACCTGAGCCGAAGTCAGACGCTTAACCCACTGAGCCACCCACGTGCCCTAAAGGCAGTCTATTTTTTTTAAGCTCATTCAGTGTCTGACTTTAATGGGGAATCAATCCATTCATAATTAGTGTAACAACGGGCATACTTGATTTTAATTCTTTCAATTTTACTCTGATTTTTAAAAATGAACTTTGCCATTGTTTCCTCTATTCTTTTCCCTATTTCTTGGTTTGGTTACCCCAATTTTTATCCCTATGTCCCTGAATAATCAAATTTAACTATATGGCTAAAGAAAAGTGTTTTGTATGTTTTATTTTTGTTAATGTTTATTAATTTCTGAGGGGGGGGGGTGTTAAGGGGCAGATAGAGACGGAGGGCAGAGAGAGACAGGGGCAGATGATTCGAAGAAGGCTCTACATGGACAGCAGCGAGCCCGATGTGAGGCTTGGACTCACAAACTGTGAGATCATGAGCTCAGCCAAAGTTGGATGCTCAACCGACTAAACCAGCCAGGTGCCCCTTGTATGTTTTTAATTTGAAAAAGACCAGAGATTTAAAATGCCCTTTTTCTAATGATCATACTTTCATTCACGTGGTTTGCCAAGGAATCTTTTAGGGAAACTAGGGCAGCAGAAGAGATTCAGAAGTCATCCTGGGTGCTCTGGACTCCACAATGGTGAGATTGCTTTGGTTCTCCGTTAGACATTCCAACACACAGGTTTTCTCTAAAATATAAAGAAAAGCAAATCAAAAGAGAAGACCTTGAAATAAAAAAAAAGTTCTGCTATGAAAACAGCTTATTAAGGAATTGATGTGAAAGTTGGTGAGTCCCTTTATGCTCTGACAAGCTTTGGTATGCTTTTCCTCTCCCAGAAAAGCACTACTCACACTGGCAAACTCCTGTGCATCCTTTTTTTAAAAAATTATTTTTTTTTAATTTTTTTTTCAACGTTTATTTATTTTTGGGACAGAGAGAGACAGAGCATGAACGGGGGAGGGGCAGAGAGAGAGGGAGACACAGAATGGGAAACAGGCTTCAGGCTCTGAGCCATCAGCCCAGAGCCTGACGCGGGGCTCGAACTCACGGACCGCGAGATCGTGACCTGGCTGAAGTCGGACGCTTAACCCACTGCGCCACCCAGGCGCCCCAAAAAATTATTTGTTTAAGTTTATTTATTTATTTTGAGAGAGTGAGAGAGTGCTAGTAGGACAGGAGCAGAGAGAGAGAGAGAGAGAGAGAGAGAGAGAGAGAGAATTCATGCAGAGCCCAATTCGGGACTTGAATTCACAAACCACCAGATCATGACCTGAGTTGAAGTTGGATGCTTAACCTACGGAGTCACCCAGGTGCCCCTCCTATGCATCCTTTGAAGTGTATCCAGAAGGTCTTTTCTGTAAATCTTTCCCTGACCACCCTCTCCAAACCTGCTTCCTTCTTTGTGCCCCCTCCACGCCTTATGCATGCCCCCATTACAGCCCTTATAGCATGGTTTTGCAATTATCATACTCTGCTCTAAGCTATGTGCTGTTTGAGGGCAGAAACTTCTGTTCATTTAGCTTCGCATCTTCTCTAGTTACTGCCAATGCTTAATAAACACTTGTTGAGTAAATGATTAATTGTTTTGCCAACGGTAGTGGTTTATTAACAGCAACATATTTCTGTCATCTTTTATCTTTCCTTTTTTCCTGAAGCAACAGAAAAAAAAATAACTTCAGAATTAATGTTACCTCTAAGGAACACAAATAGTATTCTCACTAGTCCTATTAACGTGTTCCCCTAATATTTGGGGAATTTAGGTTGAGGCCGTCTGAACCCTTGTCTCTCTCTGTTCCTCAACAATATTTTGGCAGATTCCTGTGTGTGTGCGTATCAATGACTAACCATCTGAATTCAATTTGCAAGCTTCTTGCTCATGGGGCAAACATTGGCAATTAGCCTAACTGGTAGTCCTACTAGCTAAAATCACATCCAATAAGACTTCCTTAGGACGTATCCAGTTGGATACTTTCTTTTGGAATGCTTAAATGAACGCCCATCCTTTAATTTAAAATGATCTTTTTAATCTCCCCTTCCACAGATTAAGGCCTTTATTTAGCATGACAGCAACTGAATTCCCCAACTCTGCCGACATGCAACTTGATTATGAGTTCAGTCAATACCTAAAATCAATGCAAAAAAAAGTGAAGTCGGAAGTTTCGAAATATAAATCCATTAAGGCCTGACATTTTCTCAAAATTTTAGTGAATAGCACACAGTCACTCTCTGCTCCAGCTGTAAAAATAACACTGTGAATCTAAACTAAAATAAGTAACTTGGACCTCCTTTATAAGAAATTCATCATTTTAAAAAATGCAGAGAAACCATTGGGAAGCAATTTCCACAAATCCAAGGACTCCTCATTTAGAGTGAATACAATATACACAATAGAGTGTATACAGTGAACACTACCACCAAACTGGCTCAAACACAAGGTCTAACAGAACTGTTGTCACAAAGCACATTTGAAAGGGATTGCTAGTGATATGAATTCCTCAGGAAGGTTTTCAATCTCTTAAGTATTTATGCAGGCTGAAGATTGAAGGGGGATTCTAAGGGATCTGTGGCCACATTTCGCAGAGTAGAGGTTCATGGAGTCCACCAGGAAAAACAAACAAAACAAAACAAAACAAAACAAAACCCTAGAGGCCTCTTGCTTTCCTCCCTTGACAGGCTGACATCGTAAATTACCTGTACAACCTGCAGTTGTCTACTCTGTTAGTAGAAGGAAGAGTTCAGGTAGGTTGGGTCATGTTATTTCCCTCTCCTTCTGGGAAACTGTCAGACTGACTTTCCCAGCTCTCCCAGAACTCACATGTAGCCACAGGCCTGAGTGCTGTCAATGGGAAATTCCCAGCAGACACCGTCCAGGTGGCCTAAATTCAACTCAGTTCTGAAACTATTTACCTAGAAAATAGCATCAGCGGGCACCTGGGTGGCTCAGTCGGTTAAGCTTCTGACTCTTGATTTTGGCTTAGGTCATGATGCAGGGAGTCAGGCCCTGTGCTGACAGTGGGGATCCTGCTTAAGATTCTCTCTCTCACTCTTTCTTTGCCCCTCCCCAACTTGTGCGCTCATGCACGGTCTCTCTCTCTCTCTCAAAATAAATACATAGACTTAAAAAAAAAAAAAAAAAAGAAAATAGCACCAGATCCCACAGGTTAAGGACACTGTTGTACAAGACTCCCCTCCACCCCCTTGAGAAGCCAATTTTAAGTGCAGGTTTGTAACTTGTGCTTCTGACCAAGTGGCTATAAATTGGCGGTTCCTACAACCCCCTGCCTTGGGTCGAGTGATTTGCTACAGCATCTCACAGAACTCAGGGAAACATTTGCCAGTTTATTATAAAAGGATATACTATAAAATAATACATGTGGGAAAAGGCTCAGAGCTCCCATGCTCTCTAAGCATACCACAATCCTCAAATTCCCATGAGTTCTGGGGCACCTGGATGGTTCAGTCGATAAGCTTCCGACTTCAGCTCAGGCCATGATCTCATGGTTCATGAGTTCGAGCCCCAAGTCCGCCTCTGTGCTGACAGCTGGGAGCCTGGAGCCTGCTTCAGATTCTGTGTCTCCCTCGCTCTCTGCCCCACCCCCCCACTCATGCTCTGTCTCTTTCAAAAATAAATAAATATCTAAACAAACAAATTTCCATGGGGTCATCCACCAGGAAGCTCTCCAAATCTACTCCTTTTGGTTTTTTATGAAAACTTCATTACATAAGCATGATTGATTAAATCAATGGCCATTGGTGATTAAGCTCAATCTCCAGCCCCTCTCTCCTCCTGGGAAATCAGGGGGTGAGATCAAAAGTTCCAGCCTTCTAAACACCTGGCTGTTTCCCTTAGCAACCAGCCCCCCTCCCAGGGTGCAATGCGCTAGTCACCTCATTAACATAACAAAAGACACTTTGTTTCACTCTCAACACTTAGGAAATTCCAGGGGTTTGAGGAGCTCCAGGCCAAGAACAAGGATGAAGACCAAAAAATGTATTCTTACTGTAAGTCACAGTATCGCAGATTGGATCTAATGAATATTAAAAATAATATTTGCAAAGAGTTTTTAGTCATGTAAATGATTATTGCTAAGGGTAACAGAATATGCCATCTCAAAATATGAATGTAGGCGTTCAGGACATGCTACCTCATAATATGCTGCTTTGGCATTTTGAGTTGTAGACATTTGAAAAAGCAATAAATGCAAGGAGGGCTATCTCTGAACTGCTCCTATCTGCCTCAAGACAGAGCAACAAAAGGACCTCAGTTATAGATCCCTCCCCAGGAGTTTCATCAACCAGGAATCACTGACACCACATCCAAACTTGACCACAAATTATCATATCTTCCATCTATTTTTTTCTAAGAACCCATTCATCTTCCCTAAAAATCACTTACTCTCCCCTATGAGGCCTATACCCTTCCTCCCCTCCCCAATTAATATGGTATTTAAGCCTGAACTCTGAGCCACCTCTGAGTTACTCATTTTTCCCTGGTCATCTCCCATGCATACATGAGGTATACACGTTAATAAACTTCTTTTATTACAGAGGTCTTTGCTAAGAACTTTGAGGGTAGAGGGAAGATTAATTCCCCCCCCTACAATTATTAGAAAGATATGTAAAAAGAATAGGACACAAAATTGTTTTTTTCCAAAACATCTCCAATGCATTTTTGGAAAGTAGGAAAAAATATGCCCAAATGTTAAAGTCAAAAATTGAAAGACGGGAGTCTGGGTGGCTCAATTGGTTAGGCCTCTGACCTTAGCTCTGCTCATGATCTCATGATTTATGGGTTTGAGCCCCATGTCAGGCTCTGTGCTGACAGCTTGGAGCCTGGAGCCTGCTTCAGATTCTGTGTCTCCCTTTGTCTCTTGCCCCTCCCGTGCTCATGCTCTGTATCTCTCTCTCTCTCAAAAATAAACATTAAAAATTTTTTTAATTGAAAGAATAATTCATTGGAAATCCATATCCCTTCACTTATATCCAACACTACCCATATGTTGGAGGGCCCCCTATTTTCTCCTCTAGCCTTGGCCTTACTCAAGGGATGAGAGGTATTCTGAGCCAAGAGGTATGCCCATCTGGAGCTCATCTCCTGCCACAACCCCTCACTTTTATTCCATGCTTCAGGTGTCCTAGAGCCTGGAATTCCTATTACTTTCATCTTTTTTGGGGTCCATTTTCCTGAGGTTAGACCATCTCCACTGTGCATAGCCCTTGGCCCAATGGTCCCAAGAAACATCTGTTTCTGAGAGTGGGGAGCTGCATGATATGGATGTGAAGGTGAGGAAAGTAATTTCCCTAAGTTCTTGGATGGACACCTATAGCCAAAGATAGGTTAGTAAGAGAAAAACTAACAGAGAAGTTTATTAATATGTATACCTCTTGTATGGATGGGAGATGCCTAGGGAAAGATCAGTAACTTAAAGGTTTAGTTAGAACCTCAGTTCATACAGTATCTTAGCAAAGGAACAATACATTTCTATAGAAGTCACAGACAAAGGAAATAGACTTTGAGTCTCTAAGGGCAGCAAATAATGAGCACACAGATATATAGGAAACTAATGGTAGATAAAAGCTGGATAGTAAGGTTTGTTATATAGATTCTTCCAGTACCATTTCCACGCAGATAGGATCTAAAGTTATCTCTAGTGATTAACTTTGGTCCTTCTCGATAGAGAGGGGAAGAGAGATATCCTTGAAAATTTATGTCCTTGTTTTGGGCAAATAGAGGGAGGGCAGTAAGCTTTTCTTATATCTGCATCTTCTCAGTTGTCTTCAGCTCCAAATAATCTTCTGCCAAAGGGGCGTGTTTTGGGGTTTCACATTCTGCTACCCCACGGGTGGTGCTTGAATTCATGAACTGAGGTGTCCACACAGGTGTGCATAGAACCCCTTATGGTGCAGGATGGACTTAGGAATGGGTGAGAAATGGTTGCAGGCCAGGAGACCAGGGCTGGCTTTCCTTGAATTGCTATGTTTTAACATAAAACTTACAGGTGTTTGTGAATTCTAAATTTGAACTTGGTTTCCAGATCATTATGAAGCTGCATTGGTCAAAGTAAATAATAGAACGTATTTTATTATTTTATGAGTTTGCTTTATAACTTTAAATATTTAGGCATGGTATATGAGTCTCCATTTGTACTTTTGACCCAGACCCTTCAGGGTTAGGAAGAGTCTTGCTTAAATATACCAATTATCAACATTTTGCCATATTGGCTTGTTTTATCTGTCTGTCTATCTGTCTATCTATCTATCTATCATCTATCATCTATCTATCTATATCAATGGGCCTTATTTTTTAATGCTGAAGCATTTGAAAGTATGCTGCAGATATCATGGCACTTTCTCTCTGAATACTTTAGCATGTGTTTCTTAAGAACAAGGATATTCTCCCATATAACCACAATATATCACACCAAAGAAGTTTAATGTTGATGTAATAAAATTATCTAATAAATGTGGCCTATATTCAAATTTTCTCCATTGTCTTAATGCCCTGTCAAAGATTTTTTGTCTTTTTCTTCTAATCTAGGATCCAATCAAGGGTCACTCATAATATTTGTTTTTCATGTTGTATGGTAATGACAAAAAGACCAAGAAAGGCTTTCTCTTAAATGGAGGTCAAATTAGATTGCTCGGCAAAATTGGTGGAAATGTTAAAACACTAACCACATTTTTTGGAAATAGAACACAAAGTCTTCAAGATTTAAAGGGAGTGAAGGGAGAATAAATGCAACAGCCTTTGAGCTTTAATTTCAGTTTTTTCTGAGGCTGTTATTCCTAAATGATATGCACCTGCTTTTTCTTCTGTGGGCTTCTGCTGTGATTTTATATTTGTCCTAAATTTTCAGAGGAATAAATGCAGTGTTAGATGAAGGAACGTTTTCATTATTATCCTAGAAAGAGAATGTGTGTGTGAGTGGGGGAGAGGGAGAGAGAGAGAGAGAGAGAGAGAGAGAGAGAGAGAGAATTTCAAGCAGGCTCCATGCTCAGCCTGGAGCCTGACACAGGGCTTGATCCCATGACCCTGGGATCATGACCTGAGCCGAAATCAAGAGTCAAATGCTCAACTGACTGAGCCACCCAGGTGCCTCTAGATGAAGAAATTTTTAAAGTAAATAAAACCTTAAGCAAGTTGTATTCACATGTTTTTGATAAACAAATTTGCACTTTGCACATTTGCAAATCCTTCAGTGCTAAACACTGATTTTCTCACCCCTTTCTTGGCCAGACTTTTTCTGTGTCCTCATGTACAGCAGGAAGACATTGATGTTTGTGAAAACTCAGCCATTTTATGATAACTCACTCGTTTTTGTGGCCATAAAATAATGTTATAAGCATCTATCTCATAAGATTTCATTTAAGAATAAAAATGTTCTTAAGAAACACATTAAACAGACAAACATTAGGTATTAGAGATCAATACCCCTACGTAATCATGTGGGGTGTCCAACACAAGAACACAAGACTCTTGAACACAAGAGTTCATTGGAAAACTGACATTTTAAAAGTATTTATGAGTGCAAGAAAATAAGCAAAGAATTAAAAAGGACTTTTCAAACAAAATCTTGTTTCCTTATAGATTATGAACTTCAAATGATTTGCTTCATTTTAAAGGTGTAAATAGTTGAAGATCAGAAAAATAATATTGTCTATGCAGTGTGTTGTGTATATAAATTTTTATTTATTTATTTATTACACAACATTCTACATAGACAAATCTTCATGCATCTAAGTCAATGCTATTGAAAGTGTGATGCATGGGTAGGTGCCAAATAGCACATTATTTGTAACCAGTTTTGAAATAAATTTCAAGTCCCGTGATGGAACTGCTCCTTCCCTGGGTGCCACATCAGTGAACTGAAATTTAGATAACTCTCATGTCCCTGTGAATGCTCGGCTTCACCAGAAACAGACTATCTAGGCAGCCAGTCCCCAAATGCCCCGCCAATTTAGGACTCCTCCTTATTTCCTTGTGCCTTCTCACCCCAAGCAAAGTTGACTATGTAGCCCCAGCCAATCTGATATTTTCTCTTTCTCTCTTCCTTGTTCTTTATTCTTTGTCCTGTAAAAGCTTTCAGTCTTTCTCTCTCCCCATTTAACAATTCTCTGAATGGAGGCTATCTGCTTCATGAGGTGTTATCACCTGGTTTGTCTTCTTTAATCATTTTTTAACAAGTCCATGAGGAAACAAGTAATAAATTGAACGGAAGCATTTAGAAACTTTCAAAGCAGTATGTCAGGGTACCTTTGTACAATCCAAGAAAAGAAAACCTGGCTTGTATTTTGTATATCTTTTTATTCCATCTTTCTACTTCTTGTTGTTGTTGTTGTATTTTTATATAAGTATGAGTTCATGATGGATTGGGAAAAGAAAAACTGGTTCTTCACCTCAGATAATTTGAGAAGCACTTCTGAACATGGTATTTGGCAGGAGTGTGAAGTGTGTGTGTGTGTGTGTGTGTGTGTGTGTGTTTATAGGGTTGAAAGAAAAGAGAGATGAAGTGGAAAGTCATTAGATCAAATGCAGTATCATTTGCAGAAGAGGTTTATATTAAATAATAAGAGACTATATATATTTCCAAATACGATGTAAACAAAGGAGTTCAGAACAAGACTGCTCCTCCTTAACATGCCACTCTCACAGGAGGATTACTTTGACCTGAAGGCAATCAAGACCCAGAAGACTCATGAGAAGCTTGTAACCTCCCCCTTAAATGCCTAAAAGAAATGTAATTTTTTCATTTGTGGGGGAAATATGCAATTATAAAGGAAATTTACATTGGAAAGGGGGCCTCTACCAAGAAGAGAGCTACTGCCAGAGATAAACCATTTTTACTTAAGAAACTGATCTGCATAACCTTGATTTGCCAAACATTTCCTCCTCTCCCCTCCCTATAAATTGCTTTCCCTCCTCTGAAACCTTTTCCTTAGCTCAGGAGGTTTTATAAACCTCAATTGCCTGGTTGCCTTTTGGGTCTCCTGCACATGTATGCAATTAGATTTGTTTCTCTCCTGTTAATCTGTCTTATGTCATTTTAATGATTGGACCAGCCACAGAATCTAGAAGGGTACAATAAAAATTCCTCCCCTACACAAATTCATAAACCAAATGGGTTAGCTAATCTTCTATTATTATTTGAAAACATTTTTAGGGAATAAATGAAAGAACAAAAGATGTGCCAGGTCACAGTACTTGAACATTTTTAGTGTTTGTTTCCTCTCTCTCTCTCTCTCTCTCTCTCTCTCATTTACTTGCTCTCTCTCCATTTGTTTATCCTTTACAGTGTCCACACTATCCGATAATGGCTTTCCATGTTACCAACGTAGGGGAGAGTAAAATAATTTTCCCTCTGCCCTTGTAAGTTCTCAGCTGGAGCCCTATAAAACAAGATTAATAAGAGAAAAACAAACAGAAGTTTATAATGTATACCTACTGTATACAAGGGAAGTATTCAGAAAACTGAGTAACTCTCAGAGGTGATACACCATTCAGGCTTAAATACCAGCCTTAGCTAAAGACAAAAGACAGAAGGGTGTGGGGGAAGTCAGTTACGGGGAGATGGGCAGCACAAGTCTGGTAAACAAGAGTAAGATTTGCCATGAAGATTTAAGTCAGGGACTTCTGCATTGATAAGAGTTTCTTGTGGTTTGGTCATCCTTCTCTTCCTGGTACAGTGAGGGAGATACCCTTCCAAATAGAGATTTCTTTATAAATATCCATTTCTCTTACAAAAGGGTAACTTCTACTCTGTTTTCAGAGCTTCTCCTGTGTCTGCTCCTTCTCAAAATACTCCTTATACCAAAGAGGTATCATTGGGATGGCATATTCTGCCACTAATCAGTGTCAATATCCACATTCCCTTCAGATTTGCCTCAACATCTCACTCACATTCCTCCAAATGGTCCTTTTTCTTTCACTTGCCTCTGCTCTTCCTTTCTCCACCATAACAGTTCCTGAAATCCTATTTTCTCTGAATGCTTTCTTTCCATTAACCTCATCCCACACAGATCACTTCATTAGATGATCTCAATGTTTAGATGTATTTTCTATAATTTTGAATTTTATGCAATAGTTTGTAATTGTTCTCAAGCTCGCCTCCTGTTGGCTACCCACTCTATGACATCATCCCTTTGGATTCTAAATTCCTGCAAAATAGGAGTAGCTACTTTGGTGTCAGAGCTGCACTGCCCAAGCCAGTAGCTATTAAAGTTCAAATATTTAGGTTTTTTAAAAAAATTAACATTAAATTAAAATAAGTTAACATTAGGTAAAATTAAAAATTTCCTCGGTTTTATTGCATGGATTTCAAATGTTCATTGCCTACATGTGGTTAGTTGCTATTATATTGGAAACCGGGGTGCCTGGGTGGCTCAGTCGGTTGAGTGTCCGACTTTAGCTCAGGTCATGATCTCCCAGTTTGTGGGTTCGAGCCCCGCATCGGGCTCTGTGCTGACAGCTCTGAACCTGGATCCTGCTTTGGATTCTCTCTCTCTCTCTCTCTCTCTCTCTCTCGCTGCTCCTCCCCTGCTCGTGCTCTGTCTCTCAAAAATGAAACTGAACCTTTGAAAATGCTTAAAAGCATAAAGTTGAACCAAAATCAAAATGGCTGCACTAATACTTTAGCCAAACTCGATTTTAAAGTAATCTTTTTCCTCTCTTCTGCAAACCTCCCCTCCTCCCTTCTTAGCCTTTTGTTTCCGGAACCCGGTGCCACCCTAAAGACATGATGAACAAAGCTGGCAGTGCCTACACAATTCCTGTCAAAACTGGCTAGATCCTGTATTTCCTTATCTTTAAAAAGTTTTTAAATGTTTATTCATTTTTGAGAGAGAGAGTGTGTGTGGGGGAGGAGCAGAGAGAGAGGGAGACACAGAATCCAAAGCAGGCTCCAGGCTCTGAGCTGTCAGCACAGAACCTGACAGGGGCCTTGAACTCACGAACTGTGAGTGAGATCATGACCTGAGCTGACGTTGGATGCTCAACCAACTGAGCCACCCGGGGGCCCGTAGAGCCTGTATTTCCTTACAAAACCTCCCACCCCTTTCCTCCCGGCAGGCTTGCAGTTTCTGAAGGCCTTAGCCCACTACACCCTCCTTTGCCCGCAAAGCAATAAAGCTATTATTCCTCTTTATCCCACATTCTGTCTTCACATTATATTTTGTCTCCATGATTTTTAATAACACGTTTAGAATATTTTCATCATTGCAGAAAGTTCTACTGGACAGGAATTCTCTCATATTTCCCATAACACCTATCATAGCTCACTGTTTACAGAAGATAGTCGAGGAGGAGTTAAGATGGCAGAATAGTAGGGGGACCCTATGCTTTCCTTGTCCCTTGAACACAGCTAGATAAATATCAAATCATCCTGAACACCCAAGAAATTAATATGAGGACTGAAAGAACAAGTTGCACACCTAGAGGGAGAAAAGTGGCTACATCATGGAGGGAGATACTACAGAGAGTTGATTTGAGGGAGAGAAAAGAATTGAGGGTGCTGCGGTGTGGGGAGGCTGATCAGGGAAAGAGGAAAGAGGGAGAAAGGGAGAGAGACAAAGACAGAAGGCAGCATGCAGGAGATTGCACAAGAAAAACTCTTCCTCAAAACCACTGACTGGGAAAAGGAGAGAAACTGATTGTGGCAAGTTTTTACAAGCAAGGGAGCTCGAAGTCTGAAGTTTTAGAAGTCATACCATCACCCGGGTCATGCCGGTGGCCTTAGCGGTGTTCTTGTGGGGAAGGAGAGCAGAGGCCCTGGAATGGACAGCATGGTCTGAGGATCTCCTGGGTCTCACCGGGAGGAACCGTTCCCCTTCTTGGAATGCATTTGGGAGAGATGGCACTACCTTTCAGGGGACAGAAGAGACAGGGGGTCACTGAGCGGCCTGTTAATTCGCATAGCAGTAGGGGCACCTGCTGAGAGGGCAGCTAACCTAGAAGCCAACTCTTGGCTGCATTTTACCACAAACTCCAAGCCTCTGCACAGTCGTGGGACGGATTTTCTGGGATGAACGGGCACTAGCCACAGCACCGCGATACCCTCCCCCAGAGGATCAGGGTGGGTCTGCACTGCTCTGAGTCCCTAAAATTTGGAGGTTTTGAAACCTAGCTGCGTGACTGAGATGAAACACAGGAGTACTGGCCGCAAGGCAGGCAGACGATTCAGACACAGGGTGAAAGCAGGATTCTGACAGAAACCTGGGACACAAGAGGGGAGATTGTTCACTCATCTATGAGGGCTTTCTGAATAGCAGTGGGCACAAACTCCCCGCTTCGGAGAGCGGGGCAATGCCATTTTTCCTGCCTCCCAGCAGCAGGGATAGACTTCAGTGAACAACACAGCGCCTCCCAGTGGAGGCTGGAGCCACATACACCAAGCTCTGCCCCACTGCTCACTGCAGGTGCATCTTTAACTAGGGCAGGTCTGGCTGAGAACCCAAGCAGCAGGCCTCTTCCCCAGAAAACCAGCACAAACCCCAACATGTACCAAGACTACTGATCATAGAGCTCTGCAAAGCTTCAGCTCTCGTGGAAATAGGATCAGGCTCATTTTAACAAGCAGACTAAAGTACACCTAGTTAAAATGCCACACACTGGAAAGGTCCAAACGCTCCCCACTGCAGGCAAGGAGAAACTCTGCAGAGGACCGATCTGAGGGAAAGAGCAACCAAGACACAATAGCGGAGTGCACGCTCAGAAATACTTCCTGAAACACGAGGCCCTGGATAGTTTAGGACCTCTTCTTAATACAGCCATTACTCTCAGGACCAGGAAATATAACAGGATTTCCCAACACACACACACACACACACACACACACACACACACACACAAATAGTGACCTAAACAAAGTGCCAAAATGGAGGAATTCACCCCAAAATAAAGAACATGAAGAGGTCACAGCCAGGGACCTAACCAAAACAGATATAAGTAATTATGCCTGAACCAGAATTTAAAACAACAATCATAAGGAGACTGACTGGGCTTGAGAAAGCATAGAAGACACCAGAGAATCCCTTACTGCAGAAATAAAAGAACTAAAAACTAGTCAGGCTGGAAAAAAATGCTATAACTGAGATTCAAAACCAACAGGATGTAGTGACAGTGAGGATGTACGACTCAGAGGAATGAATAAGTGATATAGAATATAAAAATATGGAAAGTAATGAAGCTGAAAAGAGTAGGGAAAGAAAAGTATTAGATCATGAATGTAGACTTAGGGAACTCAGTAACTCCATAAAGCATAATAACATTTGTAGCATAGGAGTCCCAGAAAGGGGAAAGAGGGCAGAAAAGTTTTAAATGAGCACATTATAGCAGAAAACTTCCCTAATCTGGGGAAGGAAACAGACATTGAAATCCAGGAGGCACAGAGAACTCCCACCAAATTTAACAAAAGCTGGCCCACAGCAAGAATATATCATAGTAAAAATTTTAAAATATACAGATAAGGAAAGAATCCTGAAAGCAACAAGGGAAAATAAATTCCTAATCTACAAGGGAAGACAAGTCAGGTTTGCAGCAGATCTCTCCCCAGAAACCTGGCAGGCCAGATGGGAGTGGCATGGTATACTCAACATGCCCAAAGTGGAAAAAATATGCAGCCAAGAATACTTTAGCCATCAAGGCTGTCATTCAGAATAGAAAGAGAGATAAAGAGCCTGTCAGACAAACAAAAACTAAGGGAGTTCATGACCACTAAACCAGCCCTGTGAGAAATCTTAAAGGGGACATTTTGAGTGGGAAAGAAAGACCAAAAGCAACAAAGACTAGAAAGGAACAGAGAAAATCTCCAGAATCGGCAACTTTACAGAATACAAATTAAAAATTAAAATAAAAAAAAGATTATCAACGAATGAATATGTAACAAATAATATAGCATAGCAAATAACATAGTATTACTAATAAGATTATTATGACCAAGATCAAGAAAAATCACATTTATAATATATCATAAAAGACTTTGAGGGGTTGGAATGGAAAAAGATAAGATATTATGAGATTAAAAAAAAAACACCAATAATAAAAATAAAAGAGAATACCTGCCCTATTTATTTTCACAATTGTGTGTGTCTGTGTGTGTTTGTGCATGCACACGCACAGGAGATCCTTATGAGAATAAAATGAGAGGCTCCATAAATTATAAAGCCTTAGACAAGTATGAGGGATTTTTAGCAGAAATTCAACAACATGAACAACAATTTGGCGATTATTCCTGGTCATAAGACAAAAGGAGACAGGATGATGATGCGAAATTGTTTGAGATGCAGTGGACTGTTTCATTCATTATTTTTTCTTACTATATTTTATTCTAGCATTTGCATATTCAGCCTCTCCTGAGGAGCTGAACACACAGGAAACACTGAGAAATGTTGCTGCTTTCAGAAGCATCAAGATGTAACTCCAAACAAAAGCTTTGTGCCCTGCAACTAGCCGTCTTTCTTCATCTGGTGAGCAGCATTCGTGGGTTCTCAATCCCATCTCTAGAAAACTAGTTGTCCCAGGTAGAGAAGCCACAAACTCTCCAGGACCTCCAGGACCTCTGTCTCCAGGGACTCGGAGTCAATGGCTGCCCTCCAGCACTGACACTGGACTGTCACTCGCTTTTTCTCCATTCCTTTTTCTTTTAAATCGAGTGCAGGGGTCAAAAGGAACGGCTGCTGGGAGGATAGACAGAACAGTTTCGTTCAACACAATGTAAAGGTTTTACAGGAAATATTTGCTGTTTCATGTATAATTGAATAAAAACGTAACGAATGTCTTTATTAGTGTAACTATAAGCAGCATAGAAAGACTTTCAGAGTTGGAAGAAGCGTGAAGATCCCTGTAGCTCCACAGATGAGCAAAGTCCTATTGATAAACGGCCACCCAGTCTCTGCTTAGGAAGTACATGTATATTAGAGAGTGTCCTAGCAGGAAATAGAGGGCGCACTCCCACTGGGTAGGCAGAAAGTGGCTGTTCACTAGATTGCGGGCAGGCTTTACGGAAACCAGAAAGGAATAGTGCAGGACTTTAAGACCAGTGGCGTCAGGCAGTCGCCTATCTTCCCTGTGCCTGAAGGGGCATTGGGAGTGGGAGGCAGCGGTCCTGGAACTCCGAGAGGGTAGCTGTGTCAGTGCACGGGGCCGCTATAACAAAATACAATAGATGGGGCGGCTTGAACAGCAGACATTTATTTCTCACTGTTCTGGAGGCTGGGAAGGCCCAGCTCGAGGTGCTGGCAGATCTGGTTCCCGGTGAGAGTTGGCTCTCTGGCTTGCAGACAGCAGCTTTCTTCCCACATATCCTCACATGGCAGAGAAAGAGCAAGCTCTGGTGTGTCTTTTTCTTCCTATAAAAAAGCTAATCTCATCGCGCCGGGGCGGGGGGGTTACCTTCATGATCTCGTCTAAACCTAACCACCTCCCAAAGGTCCTACTTCCAAATATCATCACTTTGGGGGTCAGGGCTTTAACATATGAACTTGGGGGCGGGGGGACATAAACATTGAGTCCATATCAGTAGCAATGGAGAGGGCTGCCTGATAAGAGCTATCACCTTCCATAGAGGGATGAAGACAATTCAAGGCAATATGACATAGAGAGCCAGGGGAGTAAGTACCCTGATCGCACTCTCCACCAGTCCTACCACTGGCCAAACCCAATAAGAAGCAGTAGGACAAGGTGGCTGGTGGTGGTAGTTCATATCAGTCAGCCTCTTTTGGCACAGGGCAGGGGAGATAATGATCTGGAGAGACAAGCAGAAAATACCCAGCCAGCCTCCCAGACCCTTTTTCCCCTGGATTGACTAAATGTGAGAATGCGTGTAAGGCTCTTAGCCTAGAGCCCACTGTGTTTTGGAAGCTCAATAAATGCAATATGCTGGGTATACATTTTATAGTCCCAGCCCCTGTTACTCAGGTGTACACATATTCAGCTTCTAAAAAACTGCTTAAAAACTGAGTTTGGATCTCAAGTCCCCAATTTCTGTTGAGTAGATTGCAGAAAACATAATCTTACCAAATCATTATACTTCATTTTCTTTAGATATAACCCATCTTCTTTTGATAAATTGCCACAGTCATTGTTTTCTCTTCTACTTCCTTCTCCCTTTCTCCCCTTCTCTCCAGGCCTGATCTAAATTTCTTGAAGGGTCTTATGAATTATCTAGGCATTGGTCCTATATGATTCACTCTCGTCCTCTGTCCTCTCCTATAATATTATCACCTATTCTTTCCAGCTCTAAGGTTTGTGATGTCACTATATGCTGAGTCTTCCAGGTTGCATCCTTAATACTCACAGTCAAGCCTTGGAATTGAAAATAAACAAAGTGAAAAATCTTTCAGCCTCACTTGCCCCCTCAGCTAGATAGGCAGGTGCAATGAATGATCTATACAACTGCACGTGGCCATCTTTAAACTTGACGTTAAAGTGTTTTATTCAGAGTCAAACATCATAGACTTCCGTTTGAAGTGATTGAATTAAATCGCAGAGGTGATGTTTAATCAAAGACAAACAGCCAGCGATGGTCCGGTTTCTTATAAAACTGATTTTTTGGGTGCTTCATATTTATTAGGGAATGAATAAAACTGACCATCCAATAGCTACACATCAGAAATATTTGGCCTACTTTGTCAGGAGAGACTTTAACTTTCAAAGATGTGCAAGTCTGAGGTTTGGCTCTTCACGGAGCTTCTGCAGCCAGATAATAATGCTTTTTTCCCTTTGGCCTCACTGGTATAAAAATGGAAATAAGTTGATGGAATCTCTGGGATTCAGTTTGGTATATGCTGCAAGAGGATGAAGGAAGAAAACCAATAATGATACTTTGATTTTGAAAATGTATTCTAGAAGGTTATTTGCACAGTTTCAAATGCTCTGAATATTGGTGTTCTGACATTTTGAAATAAGATTAATAAGGTCTGTGGCTTGTGCCAATATTCAAACTGGGAAAGAATGGTGCTGATTCTAGACTTGAAGGTCATCACCTAAATCCAATTAATAACAAAGGAATGTGGGACTACGACAGTCATGAGGATTTAGCTCATCTGCCTGCCATTCGTGGTTAGTTCTGACCGGGTGAGGGACTAAAGTTCAGGTTCCTTTGTCCATGTTAACATGTGTGCATCCAATAGAAAAACAAGGATACTGAACATTTGTCCTCAACACACACACCTAGAGAGTCCAGTAGTAATTAATGTAAGATCGTTACTTGCTGAGGGCTTTGTTAAATTATATACAATAGCAAGTATTTACATATGACTTCCTTACTAGGACACAGTGTTTTCTCGATATATTACTATCATTACCCCTTGAGGCGTAGTGCTTGGTGCTCACTGAGTAACAAGAGAAGAATCAGTGTAAATGGTAGAGAGATTATAAGCGCCAAATACTTCTTTAATGCTTTCTCCGTTGCAGGCTCTGTGATAACACATTACATATATTAATTTATTTAATTCTCCCAATAACTTTACGATATCGTTACCATTCCTAGTATTCCCATTTTACTGATGAAGAAACTGATGCAGAATCATTTATTTGTCTAATATCTACTGAGTGTCTACCATGTACTTGATAATGGCCTAAGAATTAGGAATACCTCAAAGCATCCCTGCCTTCGTGGAATTTACTATCTAGTAGTGGTGAGAGATAAAAATAAACTATAAAAATGTAAATTATATGGTAAGTTAGAATGGGATAAATGCTACTGAGAAAAGTAAAGCATTAAAGAAGGAAAGATTTCTGTGTCCGTGTGTGTGTGCATGTGCATGCAATTTAAAATTTTTTTTAAATGTTTATTTATTTCTGAAAGAGAGAGGGAGAGGGAGAGAGAGTGCGAGCAGGGGAGGGACGGAAAGAGAGGGAGACACAGAATCCAAAGTGGGCTCCAGGCTCCGAACTGTCAGCACAGAGCCTGACGCGGGGCTCAAACTCACAGACTGTGAAATCATGACCCGAGCTAAAGTCGGCACGCTCAACTGACTGAGCCACTCAGGCACCCCCATGTGCGTGCAATTTAAAGGATGTTGTGAGAAGATGCTCAATGTCACCAATCATCAGGGAGATGCAGATTAAAGCCACAATGAGACCTCACCCTACACCTGTCAGAATGGCTAGATTCAAAACAACAAGAAATAACAAGTGTTAGCGAGGACGTGGAGAAAAAGGAACCCTGTTGCACTGTTGGTGAGGATGTAAATTGGTACAGCCACTGTGGAAAACAGTATGGATGTTCTTCAAACAGAAAGAGAAATACTATATGATCCAGTAATTCCACTACTAAATATTTACCCAAAGAAAACAAAACCACTAATTTGAGAAGATAGATGCACCCCGATGTTTATTGCAGCATTCTTTATAATAGCCAGGATATGGAAGCAACCCAAGTGTCCACTGACAGGTAAGTGGGTAAAGAAGCTTTAGTATAGATTCCACCGTATGTAGGTATGTACATACAACGGAATTTTACTTGGCCATATGAAAGGATGAGCTCTTGCCATTTGCAACTACACCGATGGGCCTAGAGGCTACTACGCTAAGTAAAATAAGTCAGAGAAAGACAAATATCATAGGGATTTCACCTATACGTGGATCTCAGAGAAACGAAAAGCAGAAACAGATTCATAAATACAGAGAACTGATGGTTGCCAGAGGGGAGGGGCTTGGTGGAATAAACAAAGTGGATGAAGGGGAGTGGGAGGTACAGGCTTCCAGTTATGGGATGAATAAGTCACAGGGATAAAAGGTATGCATATGGAATATGGCAATGGTATTAGAACAGTGTAGTATGGACAGATGGTAGCTGCACTTGTGACGAGCATAGCATAACAAGAAGATGTGTCGAATCCCTACGTCGTATTCCTGAAACTAACATAACATGGTGTGTCAACGATACTTCAATAAAAAGAAAGGGGGAAAAAGGTTAAAAAATAAAGGATGATGAATAAGGAAGGCCTGAGAAGGGGACTTTGAGCAAAGATGGAGGGAGATGAAGAGAGACCCATATTATAAACCTCTGGGAGAAGAGTGTGTCACAAAGAGTAAACTGCCAAGTACAAAAGCCGCGAGGAGGTGCCCGGACTGTTGCAGACAGAGCAGGGAGGCCCTGGTGGGTGGAGTAAAAATGAGTATGGTGGGGAGGAACAGAAGTCAGAGAAGTAGGAGGAAAGGTCAGATCCTATGGGCTTTGCAGATATTGACTTTTATGGAGCTGAGAAGCCTTGGGAGAGTTGTGAGCGGAGAAGCTACATGGTCTGACTTCTGTTGTAAAAATATCATCTGGATGTTATATTGAGAACAGACTATGTGTGGGCAGGTGGGAAATGGGTGCTGGTAGGACAGGGCAGAAACCACAGAGATGGGTTGGGAGACTATTATAATATTCTGGGAGATCTGGAGACCATTAACAATAACCCAAGAGAGTAATGGAGGAGGATGAACCAGTGTAGTTGCTTGGGAGGCGGTAAGAAGTATCAGATTCTAAGCATCTCTATAGGTGGAGTCCACAGGATTTGCTAATAGATTGGATATGAGCTAGAAAGAGAAGACAAAGGTGACTCCAAACTTTCTGCCTTGATCAATTGGAAAGGTGAGGTTGGTGTTGATTGAAGTTGAGGAGGACTTAGGGGCAGGATTGGTAAGCTCAGGAGTTCAGTTTGGATATGCTATCTTTGACCTGACTATAAGACATCTGTGGCAGGCAGGATAAGGATCCCCCAAAAGGCCCATCGAGATCCTAATTCCCTGTGAATTAGGGAACCTGTGAATATGTTTGATTATATG